GGGCAGGTGTCGGGCTCGACACTTGGCTCTCCCCTTTTATGTTCTTGTTTTTCGGATGCCAACTGGGGGACTTGTAAAGAGAGGGGGTCGGCTATAGGGAGCGGAGGATGACAGTAGTTGGAATGTAGATAGAGTGGAGAGACGTGTTTAAGAATAGCAGTGGTAGCTGGTCAGCGGACGGAGCGGCTAGCTAGGAGAATAATGTACAGATTTATCATTAAGGAAATTTTAAATTAAAACTGCCATCCACGGCGTGTTCTGGAGATCCCGTATTTATTTAACCCGAAGTGTGTTCCACTCCCATCTCCAAAGCACCCGTATCCCTGAGAGAGAGAGAGAACTCAAGCTCGAGTGACGGTCGTGGCAACTGTACGTCGGCGGTCGGCTATTATACTGTGTACAGTTAAACAACGCCAGTGTTTTCTTGTTAGTACCATGTGCCTCTGAAGATGGTTTTACTAAAACCGAAACATGTAAGGCAAGAGTGAGAAAGAAGTGACCTAAAAAACATTGTTACACTCGACGGACTTTGTATTGATTTTATGTATAATAGTGTAACGGACCAAAATGAAACAATTTAAAATATTACTACTGGTATTAATAACTTGATTAAACTATTTATATAGGTGCTTTGATGGGCACCCAGATGGACAAGTCACTAGCTTATTAGTCTAGCGAATACAAAGTCCTGGGTTCAAGATAGCTCAGTCGGTGGTATAATAACCATGAGCTTGATAGCCGAGGAATTGAGAAAGGGCAAGTAATTTTTATTTTCGCCAAACTTTGCAATCCGGCTCTAGGCTCGACCTAGCCTCCCATATAATGGTTACCGGGAGGCGATTTCCCCGCGTGTAAAGCGCCCGGGGCGTGAAGCTGACCACTCCCCTGCATCTAGTGCGGAGGTTCGGAATACATGGATGTAAAACTCAACACCTCCATATGTCTTCTCGGCGTGGTGGTTGATTAATTGAAAACGGACATATTTGCCCTCGTTATTTTACTAGTACTGCTACCATCGTTACAATTCACTGGCGTCATCTCCATTCTGCTGACATCGTCAATGATTGCAGTGCTATGCCATGCGCAGTTGTTACTCATGTATTTTTAGTTTCGACAAACCGCGCAAACATTTGCGTGTTCTGTTTGTATGGTGTCGCCAGTATGTCGATATATAATTACGGGGCTAATGATTGTCGGTTTATCCCATTAGTAAAGGCAAATACTGCTCTTCAGCTGCTTAGGTCATGTTTCCATGCAGCGGAGATCTCCAACCGTATGACTGCGGGAACCTTGATGCCCCTAGAAGAGTGTTTGGATGTCTGCGAGAATTTTAAAATAGCCGTAACAATTTCTGAATTGTTCGCTGATGGCTGCAAAGCACATTGTGAT